TATATATATATATATATATACAAATTATGAAATTACAAATTATATATTAAATATTTATAAAATAAAATGTCTGAAGATAAAATACCTTTTTGATCAGATAAAAAAAAAAATATAAAAAAAATTTTGAATTAGGGTGATTGGCATAAATAAATTATATATCTAGCAACAATAAGGATTTTTTATTTTGTTTATACACAGATTTATAAGGAAATTTAATAAAAAGGAGCAAAGCAAGAGCATTACATATCAATAAACTGGAAACAAGATTTAATACTTTATTAACTAATTGTTTTATTTACTAGTAGTCATACCAAGCTGATCGATCAGAAAAAGCGTTCAATTCGAATGGAGCAAAAACAGCATCATGTTTTGATGTAACAGTCTATCTTCTTAAATTACTTTAAAGTACTTTAACTAAAAAACAATTTGAATTAAGGAAGTTACTGATATAATAAGAAGTAGTCTGTTTTTATTTAATTAAAAGTTAGCTGAGGACATGATCAATATAAAAACAGGTAAATGAAGACCCATCCAGAGACCACAATTATTTTGGAGTTTTGAAATTCAATTTGTCAAAATTATGCCAGGTTTTTGTAAAAAAAGGATATTACATAAAAAGCAATTTTTAAATTTGAAAAAAATTGGTTAAAAAGATATGAAAAAAGAATATAAAGAAACCAGTTTATTTTTAATATGTTTTTTTCGCTTTTTTTATAGGTTTTGGAAGAGAATGTTGGACTCACTTATTGCAGTTAAATGATTGTTTAACAATCAACTTATTGTCTCTTTCGATTGAGCGAAGTTTGTATTAGATTGCTTGAAAATATGCAAAGTTTTAATTTTTAAAATTTGCGTTGAAATCGATTTTTTTTTTTCGCGGTTTTATGCTAAACGCAGTTATCGTTGATATCGTCATGATAGAAAGTAATTTTTACCGAGTTTAACCAAATCAGAGGAAAAAAAGATGAATTTTTGATTTTAATCGGCTTTATCGATTATTGATTTTGAAAATTTTATCGATTTTTTAAATTATAAGAACCTATATTATATATATATATATATGTATAAAATATATAATTTTGGTTTAAAAATGTTGTTGGAAAATCTATATTTAAAAAGGTATCACACATATATAGACAGAAAAAACATATATTTTTATATATATATATATATATATATATATATATATATATATATATAAAAAGGCTTAAACATAATATTCCATGGTCATAATTTATTCCATTGGAATCGTAAATACGATCCAAATCATCAGACCTACAAATTCAAAATGAAAACAAAAAAAAACAACTCCGGAAAAAAAAAACAGAATTTAGAGAAAAGTAAGTACAGAGAGAATTTTTTGGAGATGTGGGTGCTTTATGGATTTAAAAAGAGGAGAGAAAGAAAGTCGACGGATGTCTAATACATAAAGATACATTTCGTGGTGACATATACACACCACAGACAATTCGGATAGGAAGGGAAAAAAAAAAAAAAAAAAAAAAGGAAAGGTTGGGGGGAGAGGGATGGGACGAAGGAAAAAAAAAATTGTATTTTACTTAAAATTTAAAATCAAATATAAATATATGAAGATGAATGAATAACGATTGTCTCATTTTCGCAAGGACCAAATATTTCTATGTAAAAAAACACATACTAATACACAAAAAAAAAAAAAACATATACAAGTAAATACATACACTTAGGCATGTACACACACACACCCAGACATACGTGTACATGCACATACATACACACACACACACATATATATACATATACACATATATACATATACATATATATATATATATATATATATATATATATATATATATATATATATATATATATATACACACACACATAAACAAACATACATATATATATATATACAAAAACCTAAAATATATTCACATATCCACACATACACATATTCATCTATATTCATATACACACACTTTTCACATACATATATACACATATACATATGCCCCACATATACATTCATACATACATACATATATACATACACATACACATACATATACATATACATACATACACACATATATATATATATATATATATATATATATATATACATATATATATATATATATATATATATATACACATATACCCATACATCCATATACACACACACACACACACACATACATATACATATATATATATACATATACACAACATACACACACATATATACATACATATACACATGCAAAACAATACACACCCTTCCATATATATATATATATACATGCAAATACATAAGTTTATATATATACATGTATATATATACACATGCAAATATTTATACACATATATACACATGTATATATACATATACACACACACACACACACACACACATAAACATGTATACACATAAGTACACATACACACATATACATATACATACATAACATAAACACCTCCATACGTATATATATACTTATATATACATACACATATATACACATACATACATATATATACATATATATATATATATATATACATACATACATATATCATACATACATATAAATACACACAGAGATATACACATATGTACATATATATAAAAAGTTAAAATCTAAATAAGTGACGATTCAAATATTTGCGCGTGTATGAAAAAAAAAAAAATTTTATATATATATATATATATATATATATATATATATATATATATATACATACACATACATACATATACATACATATACATACATATACATACATACACACACATACACAAACATATATATATAAATACATAGCGCATCACATAAACGTGCAATAAAGGTACATTTAGAGATAAACATAATAGTCATACAATTAAAATGTCATGCCCGATGTTATAGGACCGAGATGGAGCCGACATAAGTGACAACATGTTACACAACGGTGTTCAAGTTTTGAAACCTTTCTTATGTCTACATTTAGAGAATACCTCATTCCGAAGATTCAGCAGCTCATCTCGATTTTTATCTTTGATAATGAAGATTTTTTCCGTCATGCATAGATCACACCGATCGCGGAAGTTATTAGGTGTTCTGGCTCTAGATAGGAATCTCCATTTCAAAATTGGGTTTAATCCCGTATCCACCAGTTCCCAGTAGTGGATAAGGAAGTCTGTCTACTGAGGCATCTATATCTAAATGAGCGTCTATGGTTGTATAGACGCTGCTTCCAATCACCGGCGGATATACCTATGTATCTTTTTTTCTCGTTTATATTTCCCTCGGGAAAGATAGTTGCCTCGTATACTACATTTTCAGATTTGCATTTACCCCCGATTGGACAATGGTCTTTATTCCTACAATTGCAGGTAGGGTTACTAGATTGAGTTCCATTACCGTGGTAGTTTCTAAGTATTCTGCAATTATGGGAAGATATGATTTTCTCTATATTTCTAACGCATGAGTAACTAATTTTTAGAGTTTTCCTATTGAAAATTTTACGTAGTGGATGCGTACTGTGGAAATGTTTATCAATTAATTTCAGAAAGAAACTTCCTATATCAATGTTAGAGAGTCTGCAATATGGTGGGTTGAACCATATTACCTTCCTTTTCCTGTTCTTAGTTTTGCCCTTATTCTGATTTACAAGTTCAACATTAAAGCTTAATTCTTGTCTAAAACCACTATTTTTTAAGGCCTGATTGTATATAAATTTATTATCATTAAATATTTTCTGGCTAGAAGATAGCTTATTTATTCTCGTATTCACAGTTTTGGGGATGTGATCTATCACATGTTTAGGGTGGTTAGAGTGGACGTTGATGTATAGGGTGTTTGATCAACTTTATGGAAGGGTTTAAAGGTATTATTCGATAGATTGAGTGTAATATCTAAAAAGTTGACTATTTTCAGGTTGGAAGATATTTCAATTTTTAAGGTCTAAGTATTTGAAGGCCCTAATAATCTTCTTATGTAAGCTGGAAGTTAAGGGACCATTGCTATTTGGGACAATGATTAAGCCGTCATCTCTATAAATTCCGACTTGGTTAAGGTCAACTATATTCTACTCAAGGTGTCAAGAATATATATGCCCACCAGATCTGCAATTTGGGCAGAATCAAAGGCACCCATAGGTACATCGAAATTACCATTATTTTTTTACCCAAGTAGCGTCATTGTATGCAAGTATTGATCTTCTAGACGCTAAAATAATGTCCAGATCAATATCCGTTATTTTGGTAAATCCTTTGGCGAAATTGAGGCTATTAATTAATAGTTCCTCGAAATAGAAGTAAAAATCCAAGATGTCAAATTGGATGAAAGTGGCTTTATTCTTGTTAGTGATATTTCGGAACCATTTAATCGTCTCCGCCGAGTCCTTCCAAAGGTTAGCATGATATTTATTCAGGACACAAGATGTTATTTCCTTTAAGATAAGATCCTTGGAAATTAATCCCAACTCAGATTTGGAGGGATTAATTAGACGGGACTATAAGCTATTGACAAAGTTATATTTATGATCCTTGAAGAGAATGTATGCATCTTTCATACCAAATTTGCCCATTCTGTCAGCAACTCCACATTTGTTAGCAAATTTACAGATGTCTTCATTGATAGATGATAAGGTGTTATTGCCTTTGTCTTTTTTTATAAGAGCTGGTAATTTTGTCAGTGACGATTCTGTCATATTCAGCAGGTTTAATTTTATAAAGAAATTTTTGGATTTTTCGGCATTTTAATTGAAATTTCATCATTTTTTGGTCTTTAGATATAGGGTCGATAAACTTTTTTATTTATATATTTATGTGTTAAGTTAAAGCAGAAATTTGATTGTGTTTCCATTAAACATTATGATTTGAAAATCCCAAAAAATTTTGCAATCTTTTCGGATTTGTCAAATAATTTTTATATAATTTATATATATATATCCTGAAATTCTTTCTATAGAAATTAGGATATATCCAAATTTATTTAGTTTATCGACCCTATATTAAAGCGTTCCATCATTTGATGAATATTCATATGACTAAAGATTTTGTTTATTTTTTCTTTCTAACTTACGTAACGGTTTATGTAAAAACTCACGTTGAAACACTGATTCTCGTACTATCACCGAAGTTAAGCAACGTCGAGCTTGGTCAGCACCAAGATGGTTCCTGTCTCGGTTCACTGTTCTCTCTCTCTCTCTCTCTCTCTCTCTCTATATATTATTTATATTCTTTTTCTTTATTATATTTTTTTATCTATCTATCTATCTATCTATCTATCTATATATCTATCTGCCTGTCTGAGTTCACTTATAAAATTTCTCTTCTCTCTATCTCTCTATATTAAATCATATTTTCTATCTATATATACCTATCTCAGTTTTTTGTTTTCTCTCTATATATTATATTTTCTATCTATCTATATATTTATAAATATATAGCTAGCTAGCTATTTATTATTATTAAATCTGCCTATCTCGGTTCATTATATTTCTATCTCTCTCTCTCTTTCTCTGTTTATTATATTTTTTATCTATCTATCTATCTGCCTGTCTCGGTTCACTGTTCTCTCTCTCTCTCTCTCTCTCTGTTTATTATATTTTTTTATCTATCTATCTATCTATGTATCTATCTATCTATCTATCTATCTATCTATCTATCTATGAACCTATCTTGCCTGTCTCACTTCACTGCTCTCTCTCTCTCACTCTCTCTGTTTATCATATTTTATAAGTCTGCCTGTCTCAGTTCCCTTCTGTCTCTCTCTGTGTTTATCATATTTTTTATCTATCTATCTATCTATCTATCTATATCTATCTATCTAACCGAAACAGTTAATATATCTCAGTCTTTCTTTTAAAATACGTATTTCTCTTCCTTCTTTCGGTTCTCGTTTGTTGTCGGCCTCTACAATTGCGTGTCCATGCATGTGTTTTTTTTATGCAAAATATAAGTATTTCTTTGTTCAAAGGCGTCTCCTTTAGAAACAACCACGACCGCCGTAACTTGCTGTGTGCTTCTCTGTCTCTCTGTCCGATCGCCTCTCAGCTGTATATAATTTACATAATTTTTTTCTCTGAATTCACAGGACGATGTCATCGTCATAATTACGCAAGTCTGTGCACGTCAAGCAAGCGATAAGATCGAATGAATATAACACGCGCACGTGTTAGTTATCAAAAGTGGATCGAGACATTCAAACTTCTACTTGTTCGTTCCTTTTTTACCAGGGTCACCATAAAAAGTTGTATTTGGATACGCTGGGCAGGGGCAAGGCGACAGAGGTGAGGAAGCCGAGAAGGCTTACTGGGAAGAAAAAAATAACCAATCAAATAAATAAATAATTAAATAAAAAAAAATTTCCCAGAGGAAGACAAATTTTATTCTGAAAAGAGATCCAATTTCTGAAACAAAGAAAAACTTCAGTTTTCATTAGAAGACGTGATTACCATTTAATGGGCACACAGTCCAAGATCTTTGATTTGATTCGACTTTTTTTTTACGGTTTATCAACACTTTCTGGATTATTTAAGACCAAAACTTACAGGGTGTCCCAGAATAAATATATCCCAAGAATGTGAACTCCATTTATTTTCTGTTTACCCTTGGGAAATATCTATCTATCTATCTATCTATCTATCTATCTATAAATCTATCTGCCAGTGTCAGTTCACTGTTTTCTTTCGTAATCTCTCTCTCTCTCTCTCTCTCTCTGTTTGTTATATTTTTATCTATCTATCTATCTATCTATCTATCTATCTATCTATATATCTATCTATCTATCTATAGATAGTACTAGCTGCATGGTCCGGCGTTGCCCGTGCTTGATTCAAAAATCGTACGACTCATACAGCAATCGCTATCACTTGACTTAAAATATTTTTGCCCTTCCTTTCCTTTAAAGGAGTGCCCTTTGCCGTGCTGATGTTGCTACATGCCTTACTTCTTGCCTATCTCACACTGCCTATCTCACAAATTTTTCTAAGCTCTATACTAAACATTAAATCTGTTACGAAAATAGAACTAAACAAAATAAACACAAAATGATCAGCTTTAAAAAAAGGACTCGTAACTGGAAAAACCGAATGAAAAAAGAATGTTAACAACAAATACTTTTTTTCACACCCAACCCAGTTCTGCGGAATCAGAATCAACGTTGAGTTTAAGCAAGCGAATGAGCCAATTGGAGTAAAGTGCCATGCAGATTTAAATTTTTCCCCTTGTGACGAATGCAGCTATCGATTTTTTTTTTTGCATGCTAGCATGCTAGTTAACATTCTTGTCAGTCAGCTGTTGGCTCTCACGCTGGCCAATAGAATCTTCCTGCCTATTCGTGGCAGCCAGCTATAGGCTCTCACTCTGGCCAGTAGAAAATGGCTGCAAACTACATGGAAACTGCCGTAGAAGCATGAAAAAATCGATTATTTCCACTATCGACGGAAGTTGGGAAATGCAAAGTCAGTCTTGGCCTTCCCGCTAACTTGGAGCATGTGCATGTAAATTTTGGTGCAAATCTGTCGAAA